TCCGTGTATCGTGATACAGTGAAGATTTTACTCGGCGTTTCGTGGTACAGTGAAGATTGTAATCCGTGTATCGTCACACAGTGAAGATTATACTCGACGTATCGTGATACAGTGAATGTTATACTCGGCGTATCATGATACAGTGAAGGTTGTACTCGGCGTATCGTGATACAGTGAAGATTATACTCGGCGTATCGTGATACAGTGAAGATTTTACTCGGCGTTTCGTGATACAGTGAAGATTGTACTCGGCTTTTCGTGATGCAGTGAAGATTGTAATCCGTGTATCGTCACACAGTGAAGATTATACTCGACGTATCGTGATACAGTGAATGTTATACTCGGCGTATCATGATACAGTGAAGGTTGTACTCGGCGTATCGGGATACAGTGAGTTTTGTACTCGGCGTTTCGTGATACAATTAAGATTGTAATCCGTGTATCGTGATACTGTGAAGATTTTACTCGGCGTATCGTGATACAGTGAAGATTATACTCGGCGTATCGTGATACAGTGAAGGTTGTAATAGGCGTATCGTGATACAGTGAAGATTGTAATCCGTGTATCGTCACACAGTGAAGATTATACTCGACGTATCGTGATACAGTGAAGATTGTACTCGGCTTTTCGTGATGCAGTGAAGATTGTAATCCGTGTATCGTCACACAGTGAAGACTATACTCGGCGTATCGTGATACAGTGAAGATTTTACTCGGCGTTTCGTGATACAGTGAAGATTGTACTCGGCTTTTCGTGATGCAGTGAAGATTGTAATCCGTGTATCGTCACACAGTGAAGATTATACTCGACGTATCGTGATACAGTGAATGTTATACTCGGCGTATCGTGATACAGTGAAGGTTGTGATAGGCGTATCGTGATACAGTGAAGATTGTACTCGGCTTTTCGTGATACAGTGAACATTGTAATCCGTGTATCGTGACTCAGTGAAGACTATACTCGACGTATCGTGATACAGTGAATGTTATACTCGGCGTATCGTGATCCAGTGAAGGTTGTACTCGGCTTTTCGTGATACAGTGAAGGTTGTACTCGGTGTATCGTGATTCAGTGAATGTTGTACTCGGCGTATCGTGATACAGTGAAGGTTGTACTCGGCTTTTCGTGATACAGTGAGTTTTGTACTCGGCGTTTCGTGATACAGTGAAGATTGTACTCGGCTTTTCGTGATACAGTGAAGGTTGTACTCGGTGTATCGTGATTCAGTGAATGTTGTACTCGGCGTATCGTGATACAGTGAAGATTGTACAACGGGTTCACAATAGTTATATTGTTTTTTTTTTTAAAACACAAGTCCATAAATCGTCTGCTACGACACGAACCCTGTCGGACTTCCCCCCGAATAGAAAACAAAAGGACGACTTCCTCTTTGGCAACTTTGTCACGGCATGTAATTAAACAACCAAAGGTGTTTTGTCAAATGATCCTGACAAGCACACACCCGACACAATGTTTATTTAGTATGGCTAGTTGACACATTTTTTCAATATTATACATTTGCATTTATAGCATAGTGTTGTATGCATTCTAAAGACACGCCCGAGACCGCATAGAATCAACACAACAATCGTCATCTAAAACAATACAGAAAAATGACAACTTAGATATAAGGACCCCGGTGTCAGTCCTAAACATATATTTATCACATAATCGGCCTGTTATCCAGTGAGTTCCCGTGTAATATTTTTACAGTTTCCACTAGTGTAATATACCCTGGAGCGTTTTTCATTGGCTGTGCCAGTCAAAAGTCGATTGTGACGTCATAGTATGGACAATGACGGGACGTTATAAATTGTGAATGGCGCAACAAAATGTCTGTCTCCGTTTGATTAAGTCCTCTACATTTTGGCTTTAAAACTTGTCAAAATGTAAGTTTTCTGAGTTATGTGATAAAAAGTATCTTAAATTTGTTTTCATATCATATGAGCTTTTATGAAACTCATCTCGAAGTTTTAATTTTTGCTCGCAAAGGCTCGCAAAAATAAAAACACCTAAGACTCGTTTCATAAAATCTCATATGAAATGAAAACTAATTTAAGATCCTATATATCTTTATATTAAACAAGAGAATACGTCAAGAAACGACAACAAACGTATTTCCATCACAAAATCGATCAGCCAGGGCAAAATATGAACAAAGGAAAGATTTACATGGTGACGCCTGAGAAAGTACACGACGATACCACTAACGTTGATCGAGTTCATAACAAAATAATACCACGTTCACCAAGTGGGAACCGGGTTAGTGCGAGAAAATAACAAGCACACTTATGATAAAAAAAACACATCGACCTTCACATCACGCAAAGAAACAGAATATCTCCGAATGCGGTCATGATGCCGACCATAAAACTGGCCAATGAGAGATAAAGAAAATCTACTATCGGTTACCGTAGCTTATCAGCTTAGTAGTAAACAGTCCCTGTTGATGATGTAGAAGCAATTGTGGTGTCCTTGATTCTGGGAGGTATATGATATCGAAATGGTCAAAACAATTCTTGTTATTTATAGATAACAAATTGTTGATATAGCTTGAAGGACTTGTTATCGGTTCTTATAAATTCAGCCTTATATGAACACATAAATAAGTCGACCAAAAGAGAGGCGCAATGGTTTCAATAGGAATGCCTGCGGTTTGCTGTTAAATCTTAGTTAAGTATCTGCCTTTAGTTTGGGTATTTGTTGATTGCCTTAACGATGTAGATACAGTCAGTGAATCTCAGGAACAAAAAGAAGAGCACGTGTCTTACAACATCTCAGTAAATCTACGACTGAAATAGATCGCAAAAGAAGTGTTGTTCCCTTTTTTTGCAGTTAAATGACAGACTTACCTCATGTCTGAGTATAGAAACAATGTGTTTCCGAGTCGGTTCATTGTCTGTAATACCACTTAATTCGAATAACATAACGTCCCTCTCGGGAATGTCTGCACTTCCGAAACATATACGAAGGCAGCAATAAGGAGCCGACCGGGAACACCACGGCACTTCCTATCTCGTTAAGTCAGAATTCATAGAGAATCAATTTCCCTGGACAATATTTTCATGACAACAAAAGGAACTGTTTCCAATTCTGAATGTGCTACATCTAAACTGTTGTATTCACATAAATGCATAATAAAGGTGTTGAAACTTTTTTTTTCAATTTCAAGAAACAGAGGACACGTTGTGCATTCAACTACAGCCATCAGTACATCTTTGTTAAAACTTAAAATAACCCTGTTTAAGACTCCAATAACCCTGTTTAAGACTCCAATAACCCTGTTTAAGACTCCAATAATCCTGTTTAAGATCACTGTTGCCTAGAAAGCTGTAACAACACGACTGTTGGTAAGAATCTTTTCCCCTACTTATTAAATTAGCACAACCAATTTTAAAAATCGTTGAATTTACGTATGACCGTTATTATCAGTGCAAAATAGTGCTATTTTTTTAAGATTTGTTTATTTTATTTATTCATTTACAGCGGATCTGGACTGAACGTGTCCGATCGGTCAATCTTTGCAACCACTTTAGACGTTTTATCATTAACTTGCGTGTGTACGTGACAAAAGTCACTTCCCTACAGGTACAGCAGTTGACTTGACCATAGGTGAAGTTCGGACCAAATCTATTTTATTTAAGGATTGAGACTACTACACTATATATTTCATCAATGTCACAGTTGGCCGTGCCCTTACATTGGTTTGTCATGACTGAGTGACATATTGCCAGTGACAAACCTAGGTCTTATGTACAATATTTGATTGTAAAAAATTCTAATTGTGATTCAACATTGTATCATAACTATAATGATATAAATGCAAAACAATTTTTGTTATAATGGTATGTGAAAAAAGGAACAGAAATACTTAAACTGGTGTAATAGAATATCAAATGCAATAACGGTTTCTGTTTTTTATGCATTTCGCTGGACTTCATTTTTAATGTCAATCTATCAACAATCATCGTATAAATTGTTGTGTGTATGTCATATTGCCATCAGCCGGTCTAGCTTTAAAACTTACAGGTAATATAGCTGACTTTTTCATATTCGTCATACCTGGCAAAAGAATATTATTGTTCATAGAAGCTATTTCGTCGAACTTTGGTCAGTAGCACAATCTGTAGAATATGGACTAATGTAGCATTTCAACCGCACGCAGCAGCTTGTTAGCAATTTACCAAACAAATTAATCGTATTCACAATATTAGGTAGAATTTGCTGGTAAATGATTGGGCACCTGTACCAAGAGAAGAAATGACTGAATCACGACGGCCTTTGATGTTGATCAAAGAAATGATAAAAATGTCATCCCTTAAATGCATTCAATGCATTATAGGTCCGAACTATACATATTAGGTGAACTGCTGTACCTAAGGGGATAACGCTTTTGTCACACAAGCATGTAGCATCCCGAACTTCAACAGGGTGAAGAATGTCTTCTTTACCTTCTTGTAACTGGGTTGGCCGATTGAGTGAATCAAATACAGTCTGAACTAAAACCATGTAACGAATGTGATGCTTTATTTTGTCTCTGACATAACGAGGGGCGCGAATTGATCAACCTTCATGAGAGTTAGTGAAGGCAACGAGACTTGGTGAGATGGGCGAGTTGACCTACAATGCTGACAATGTGTGAGATGAGAGAGTTGACCGACGAATGTGAGTGATGGGTGTTCGGCCTAGAAAAATGCATGATTGGCGAGTTGACTTACAATGGTTGAATTGATGAGATTGACCTGCGAATGTATGTGGCGAGTTGACCATCGAATGGAAGAATATCTTGCTTACCTACAAGTGTCATGACAAACCAATAAAAGGGCATCATCACTGACTGAGACATTGATAAAAGTGTGAATAGTCTCAACCCTAAAATATCATCGATTTGGTCCGAACGATCCACATTGGGTTACGTCAACTGCTGTTCTCGAGGGAAACTGATTTTTGTTATGTGCACAAACGCCGACCAATGCGTGGGACGGGTTACTTGACATACCGTGATAATTGTCGGTCTATCGATGGTGAAGAGTCCGAACGCCGTAAATCCTATTGGGTGGCTGGTCAGCTGATTTAGGAACACTGTGATCTGCAAAATTATGGCGAAGAAAATCTCTATATCCTGATAACAATAAATACTTAACATTCATGTAAATCCCTATATAATTGAAGAACTTGCCCAAGGTAATGTGTGGTAACATAAAACAAGAGGCTAAGTGGGTTGGCGTCATTCATCTTCACCGTAACTATATGTAAGGGAAGCAGACTAGATGAGCAGTGTCTGAAATATTTCTGTGATCTCGGTGTTGCATTATGGCCGAGTTTGTATTTCAATCCACATAACATCATTATATCTCAAATACGACTTTGAAATTCTATATTTAAATACTTCTGTGATCTTGGCAGTATGTCAAGGTCAATCATTTGAGGAAAAGAACCTTATAGTACTTAAAACAAAGAAGCTTCTTGTCGAATTGAAACTTTTTTTTTATCATACCCTTTACTGACCTTTAACCCAGTTCAGCTATCAAAGTTGACCACTGACCACAACCCAATGCATTTTAGTATGTCTTCATAACATACGACAGTGTTGTGGCTCTTCACTTCAGGACACTTTTTTCTTTTAGATGTTTTTGATTAATTTTGACTCCTGCTTCCTTGAAAGTAGGACACGATATCATAATTGATAAACATTTAAAGCACTCGATCCAAGGTACATGACGCTACTGGAAGATATGATAACTTTAGACCTCCGTAGCAAGATGTTTTTAATCCCTTTACCCATTAAATAGTCCACATTGACATTTTACCCAGACAATCCCCTAAAGTAAACACTTGACCGCCACACAATACGGTAGAAAACAATGCACATGCTGCATTAAATACGAACGTAGCATGTGTATCATATTGTTGTATACGTTTTTAACATCTTTGACCACTATGACCTTGAAAGTAAAATAAGGTCATTTATTTGAGGAACGTTAAAGTTCACCGCCCCAGTTACACACATTTACTTGCCAGGTATCATGACCTAAGGACTTGCAATCCTGAAGAAGACGCTTAACGACCGGCGCAAAACTATACCATATGATCACAGAAGGCTTATGTCCTGTGTTTTAGTAAAGTAATCCAACCCCGATAAATGCACTTACTAGCCAGATACAATGACCTGAGGACTTGCAATCCCGGTAAGCTAAACTCACATATATTTACTTGTCACATGCATCTAGTCCTTGTGTCATGTTTTAATACGACAGAGATCATCAGCAAACAGTACTCCGTTAACGGCAACGCTCTCTTCTTCTGTGATGATCGAGAGTGTGACTATGGACGTGTACGCTTCTTGGTTGTTAATTAAATCAGTCAATATTACAATACGTCAGTAATTAATGGATATCAAGTCACTCAATACTCGTGTGAAGCAATATTGTTAATATTCACCACGCATACACCGTGCCCACGCAGTTGTAATTGATGAACGGAGGTATCATGTTATGGTCACGAAATGGGTATTTATCACAAGTCACAATACCGTAGAACATATAACTTCTGTCGTTACCAATGGACTGTAAAAGTTTGTGTCAATGACATTTTCTCTGCCAGCAATGGAATGTGTTACAGTAATTGAAAACTAAAACGGAAATAAATTAAATTAAATTTTGAAGTGTAGAGGAATTCTATTCAAAGGCATGCACATGTTAATTTTTAATACATAAATAGGTATATGTCTGTCTGTTTGTGTGGACCTTGATTACGTACCTGGTGACATTCCTCCGAGGTACGACAGCTGAGGTCTATACCGTACAGAGACTCCGCCGGGTAGTGAGCCTGTAACAGATCCGACAATCACCATCACCCTGTGTATCTAATAACTGGTTCTCTCACAGAACGCCCCAAATTCACCAATATTCCTTAATTTAAAAGAGCTGTTTTCATTTTCCCATAGTAATATAACGTAAGTTAAGAAACTTAACTTCTAAATATTCATATACAAAGTTTTAAGTACGGGTTTTTTCTTCTTATTTCAAAGAAAGTTTGAGGAACTGGTAATAGGTTTCAGTCATTTAATAACAATTGAAATAACCATGACGTATATTTCGATGTACGGTGGACACCAATAAGATGAATACAAAGAGTCTATTATTCCGTCTTTGCGTATTGCAGAGTCATCTTCTCTTGAGAGCAGGTATTGATTGTTACGTCATTGGTTCGTGTGAGAAAATTACGTCGTTTTCTCAAAAATTGATGACGTTACTCTCACAAACAAATGACGTAACAAGCAATACCTTACCCACTTTGCCACTGCGGCCCCAGCACTAGACATCCCCAATGAATAGCATGACTTATCGTGTGGTATTTCCGTCTCCCAGCGATGGGTACTTACCATGTGATTCACAAGCCCTCCGCCGATGAACACCAACATGATCTGGATGAGACTGAGAGAGACGGACCACCAGGTCGCCATGTAGGAGAAAGTGTCGATGGTCTCGAAGAGAACGAAGTAGAGGGTGAAAATGATGAGGGGAATGATAGTGCCGACGACCAGGAGTATGTACGTGGAGACCAAACCGTCAATGATCCCCAACAGACGGATGAGATTACCATGTTTCTGGCGTAATTGCTCAACATCACCTTTGAACTTTCCATCGACAAAGTTTTCTTGAAGACGTTTAAAAAAAGCTCTAAACGCTCTGTAAAGTCCAAAAGCCAAAATACCAAATACAGCTGTCATTGAATACCACGCCGAAATAAAATAGAAGAAAATCAAAACAAAGAGAAATTGGAAGAACATATTGAAGTGGTGTTGATCGGTGAACGAACCGCCAGATCCAATTCCGCCCCCTTCCATTAAGTAAGCACCGATGCCCACGAATCCAAACTCGACCAACAACCACACTACATACAAAACGGCTGCCACAATAGCGGAACGCCTATCTCCAACAGCAAGACGAGGGTCCAAGGATATAACATGTTTGTCCCAAGTTGTAAAGATAGTGTTCCAGTGTTTGCTAAGCCAGATATTGCACAATGCTGTACATGCCACCTGGAAGAACCAAGTCGAGGTAATAATCTGATTACATACAAAGCCGTCAAATGATGTCATGCCATTAAAGGACCAGAGGGACAGCGCCAAGTTACCCCATAACAGACAGACGACAAAGATTCCGTACAGAAGACAGGGAGAACAACAGCGTCTGCTGAGCATCTCCGTCACCGACTGTTTTCGACACGGACTACTCAGTGTGACGCCATAAAGCAGCCCTGTGAGTCGAAGTATCCACAAAATTGGTCCAAGTGAGTCCTTTAAACCCATTCTAGAATCGGTGATTTTTCTGTCGGTGTCTGAACTGTCATTATCAGTTGATCGTTCAACAAAAGGCATCACTAGCGTTGGCATTCTGTGTTGAAGGTAGAAGTACCGTACTTTCCTTGTTGTTTCGTTAGTATAGAAGATGGTGGAACACTGAATTTGAACATAACAATGATTGCATGAGGAACCTGTACAGATATATAGAAGAACGATGACGAAAGTTTGTCTGTTGCAAAGGTTCAGCGTGGGTCTTGCATCATTAAGTGCTTATCCCAACCTAATGTCTACATTATTACCGTGGACGAAGGACACATGACAGCAATATGATAGTTTTGTATCAATTGATTTGGTAGTACGGAGTTCCGTCACTCTCGGGGTCAATCAATGCTGCTACTGTCAACACGAGGGTCTCTCACTAGTTTGTCCGGGTTGTTGAGATTGATGGTGATGGATGAAGTGTACACATGGAGACAAATCGGTATTTGGACTTCGGATATACGATACCCTTCATTTTACCTTGTGTACATAAACCAAACATGGGCAGTCCTAGCCAACTGTGACCACATGATTCTGAGAATAGGAAAAACAGGTAGTAATCGCTACTGCACGACACACACTGGACCATGTTATATAACGGCACCTAGGTTACAGGTATTATGGAATCATTTACAGAATACACAATGGGTGACGATCAACACGGAGTCACAATACAAAGTGACAAACTGGGTCAAGATATGCACAAAGAACACACATACACACACAGTCACGATATACACAAAGAACACACATGTTCTGGCATCGTGATGGTATTATATTGGATGGTTTCAATCAGGAAAATAACTCAAAAACTTTCAACGTGATGCCTTCTTTTAATTCCGGAAGTACAACTCAAAACAAAACCGATGTACGGTAACAAATTACGGAATCACCAAATACTAACATACAAAACGGAGCAATTCCGGATATTCAATTGTTGATTATACAGAATATACCATGTATATAACATCCCCCCCGCCAAGACAAAATTTTACCCTTTAAAATTTTGAATTAATATAACCATCAATAGAATATTATACGGAAAGCAAATTATCGCCAAATGGTAATACAATCAATTACTATACAAACATGCATCATCCACTGGTAATATAACAAGATACACTTATCTGACTAGTTTCATCAATCTCACTTCATGAAGTCTACTAAAATATATGTGAGCACAATCATATGGAGCATGAAACCATGAACATTATAATGATGTAATCTGAAAATATTCAATTTCTATCTGCTTCAGTGTTATATATTCTGTATACATGCCTTTCAATACTTTGTTTGTGTTTGTTCAGCCATCAAATTACTGTTGTAGTTAGGAATGTGCTAATAAAGATGAATTATGAATTATAACATACAAATCAATATTTTGTGCAAATGAGTTATGTAATAAACAATAGACAATACACCAGCTGGTTGAGTTAACATGAGGAAACATACCAAGGGAGACAATCACTTGAAATTGTTTGCATTGCATATTTATAATCAATTACTCCTAACCATGGAGAAATATATGAAGGTTATAAGAAACAACTAAGCATCACATACTGCTATCATTATTGTAGACCTAATTCCTTCGAACCAGTAGAAAGTACAAATTGTTTCTATAATGCACTCACTATAAGTATTATTGATCAAAATACAATGGGACGGGTGAGAAATTAATATAGACCTACATACAAAATACTCTTAAATTACCTATGGCCACAGGTGACATACTCTCACACAAACACTCGCCTGCACAATTTGTCAATTCTCTCATTATAAATGATCTAGTATTTTCTGGCATATAACATAAATGGTACAAAAGAGTATATATACAAGTAAATGTGTCTCATCACAAGATACTTAGAATAGAATACTGTATATATAACCACTACATCAACCCATGCAGACTTTTTGTTAACTTTTTACACAGTTCATTCCTAAAAAAAATCATCCTCTCATGAACCATTATGCAAAGAAAGGTGCGTCTATGTACTCTACATATCGGGTAACATTATTCATGCGGTCAATAGGAAAGGAAAACATCAAATCCATGTACTCTTCAACATTCGAGATCTATACAAAATTAGCAATTGGAAAAAAAAGGAACATTTTAGCTCATAACACCAATCCTGTTTAAAGTTAATACAAGCAGGGATTACCAATTTCCACATTGTGAGTGTAAATGTAAGTACTGCAGGATTATTCGCAAACTCATAAATGAAATGGTGGTAACAGCGATATATACAGGTATAGTAGCTTCTTTGCTAAACCTAATTTAAAGCACTTTTTATATATCTACTAACTAAACAACAAACATAGAATGTCAAATTTGAATGAATGCAGCACAATTTGTACCGGTATATGAGTACAGGTACATTTTATCTACAAACCATGTTAAGAACATCACACTACCAAGTAAGAAATGTTTCAAAACAACATAGATCGCATATAAGACAATTTCACAAAAAAAATGTAAAAATAGAAATGGCAAATTAACAAAATGGTTATGAATCATAGCTGATCATATAGCTGAGTTCATCGATCATGTCAGTTTCACGATAATCACTATTGACTTCCTACAAACACGTTGGAATGGCTTCTCTCCTGTATTCGCACCATCGTGTACATCCAACAAAGTTAATAAGAACTTCAACGAATAGAAATCGGAGGTTTTGCCATTATAGCCTTCCTAGCAGCAGGGTTTAGCGCATCAGACGTTACCCAAAGTGCGTTTTTGAGAAGGTTCCCCGACAAAGTGAACAAAATACTCAGTCACTGGATCACGTTGTCTCTGAGCCAATATTCGTTTAATCTTGTAATGTCGGTCATTTGAACTTGACACATCCGAAGAGTCCTTAAGTGAAGAACTACGATATCGCAAGGGCTGCCTCTTTGTTCGTTGCGGACGACCTGGAAATACTGGTAGATTCTCTGGTTTTTGTGTTACCTCGGAGATAGAATCAGAATGTTCAGATGATTTAGATCTCTCAGAGGGAGTTTTACTTTCATGTGCGGTTTTGATGGAATCCTGTGTAGAATTATCCATATCGGAAGTTTCAACCGAATCCTGCAGGGAATTTGAATGATTCGGTTCATCGAATATATCGCGTCTCTGTGTTGTCGGATCAACATTCTCCGTTTGTACCCCAGTCTCTACCTTTGATGATGTGATGACCGTAAAGAAGTCCATTGGAGATGGAGCTCTTACATGTGCTAATTTGCGTCTGTTTACAGGGACAGGTTTCTCAAGATTTTTCGCTGTTGCCGGATTGTACAAGAATACCAGATGAGCTGAACACGGTTGTCTGATCACAAATGGCCCTTTGTAGATATTTTGTAACTTCTGGCCCACACCGGTAGGTTCATGACGTAAGTAAACATAGTCAGCAACATTTAACTGCATGGGCCGAATTTTATTGTTCCCTTTGTCCAACATTGTAGCCTGGGCCTTCTCTATATGTTCCATCATGTCTTTGTGAATCATGTCGACCCGAATCCTCATTTGTTGAACATAGGCATGCATGTCCTGTGGTATGCTGTCCATCTTGGGTGACACAGTAGTCAATGGGAATGTGGGTCGTACTCCGAAAATCACCTCAAAGGGGGAATAACCTGATGTAGCATTTACGGACGCGTTCATCGAGAAAACTGTAGCAGGTAAAATATCGGCCCAATTGTTCCTTCGTTTGTTTATGTAGGGGGTGAGCTGGGTTGCTAGCACTCTATGTGTACGCTGGCATGCCCCGAGGCAATGATGTGCAAAGCTGGGTGTGAAGTTTTGCTGAACTCCAAGAAGCCGACAAGTCTCCTTTGTTGCTTTGGCGATAAACTCCGATCCTTGGTCAGAAATACATGTATCGGGTGCACCATATGTACAGACGAGCTGAAAGATGGCCTCGCCAACCGACAGCGCATCACTGTTAGCTATGGGTACTGCAAAAAGGAACTTCGAAAACATATCTACAGCGGTGAATATGTAAGTCTTTCCGGTAGGGGTGGCGGGTAATGGTCCATACAGGTCGAGCTCCCATACCTGAAATGGTCGAGCGGGTGTTGGAAAAGCTGTGATAGCGTGTTTCTGTGTGATTGATGACACCTTCCTCATCTGACATTCTTCACAAGAACGGACATAATCCGACACAATTTTCGAGAGTTTGGGGAAGAAGAAATGACTACGTGCACGATCAATTGTTTCTTGAATGCCACAATGACCACCAATGGTCAAGTCATGATACAGTTTCAATATTGTGGGTACCATTGGTTCTGGTACGACTAGTTGGTAATGTTTCCATGCCTTCGTTCGTTTGGATTTTGCGGTACGTGAATGAAATAATACATTGTCAATAATAACATAGTCAGAACTTTCCAGAAGAATATGTCGCGATTCTTTCTGAGACAGTGGGAGGTTATCGGTTTTTAGATATTCTTTAAGAGCTTGGTATCTACCATCCTGTTGTTGTAACGTCGCTACATGATCAGCAGTGAAATTGGTCACTTTGAAAATATCACACTGGTCAATATCACCTATGTTTCCCGAGGATAAATCTTCGTCTAAAGATATTGTCTCTGGTGAAATCTCATTGTCAGGTATTCCATCTGAGGATATGACTTGTTGCACCTGTGAGCATTCCGTGCTCGCATCGTCGTTCTCTGTATCCTGTGAATATGGATTCATAGCCTGAGGCAACGGCTCAGTGTCGGTGGTCTCCATAGTGTGCGCGATGATATCCAGATGATCATCTGTGGAAAGATCAAACTTGTCCTCAGAACAGGAAGGTGCTGTTGGTACCAGGTTGTCTTCGGGTAACACCTGCAGTATCGGTGGTGGGGTTGTGGTTAGTAATCTCTTTAATTGAGGCTGAGGTTTCGTTAACGAACGGAAGGTTGCGCCTTTCCGCTTCCTTGTCAAAGTCGTGAGTCTGCAGGTCTCTGCATCCTCTGTATCTGCATCACACGCACCATTACCCACAAAGTCTGACTGCAATTGAACTTCTTTCCTGATGGAAGAGTGATACCGGTCGCGTGAACATCGGGTACAAACGCAAAGTTTGGGTCCTCCTCATCCGGAATAGAATCAATTACACGGAAGTAGGAGTTTGGATGGCATCGCGAAAGGGCGTCCGGTTCTATCATCTGTCCCGCGGGTTTGTACACTATGCCTACGTCGAACTGTTGAAGGATCGCTAACCATCGCTCGTATATAGCACCACGTAATTGTTTCTGGAACAGAGGGTGTAATGCCTGGTGGTCACACTCAACTTTGAAATGTCTTCCTCTGAGGTAATGTGCACAGTCTAATACACTATATACCATCCCTAAAAGTTCAAGTTTCGTTGGTCCATAACTCTGCTGATAAGTATTTAGTCCCTTTGACCCAAACCGCACTACACGATGACTATTATCTGGATGGATTTGGTACAGCATATAGCCTATGCCTTTACTGGATGTGTATACGGCCAGCCGAAACTCCAAGTCGTAGCGTGGAAAAGCGAGTGCCTCCGATTTTAGGAGTAGCGATTTAAGCTCCTGGAATGCGGACTGACAATCGTCGGACCACCGGAAATGGACTCCTTTCTTCAGCAGTTTGTTCAACGGAAACGCGACTTCACTAAACCGGGGTTAAAATGTTAGAATGCATTGTCAAATGGTTAATATGCTTCAAGCAAATTGTATGTGCACACGTATCCACTATCCAGTACTCGTTCACACACATGTGCAAACGCCGTGCTTTTCGCAAAATGTTAAAAATGTTATTAAAATGTTGATATGTTAAAACTCCTGTCAGATAGTGGAGCTTCCAACAAAATGTATGTGCACATAGTATTGATCATTCACACACGTGTTACGTTTGTCGTCTACTCCGGCACCACGTGGTATAAAATCAACGAGTGACGAGTCAAAATATTTTGGCAATTTTACAGTCACCGCCGCTGAATTTGGGGAACTCGCTTGGCTGTTGGCTGTTGGAGAGGTTGACAATTCTTCTTTAGGATTCTCCACCATGTTCTGGCATCGTGATGGTATTATATTGGATGGTTTCAATCAGGAAAATAACTCAAACTTTCAACGTGATGCCTTCTTTTAATTCCGGAAGTACAACTCAAAACAAAACCGATGTACGGTAACAGGTAACAAATTACGGAATCACCAAATACTAACATACAAAACGGAGATATTCCGGATATTCAATTGTTGGTTATACAGAATATACCATGTATATAACACACAACGACACACTGCGTCACGATATACACAAATAGTTACACAACGACACACTAGGTCACATTATACACAAAAAGTTACACAGAGACACACTGGGTCATGAAATACACAAAGAACACACAGCGAAACACTGGGTCACGATACACACAAAGAATACACAGCGACACACTGGATCCCGATATACATAAAGAATACACAACGTAACACTGGGTCATGATATACACAAAGAATACACAGCGACACACTATAGGTCACGATATACACAAAGAATACACAGCGACACACTGGATCCCGATATACATAAAGAATACACAACGTAACACTGGGTCATGATATACACAAAGAATACACAGCGACCCTCGGTCACGATCGCGATATTCACGAAGAATATACACAAAGAACACAAAGCGACACACTGGGTCATGAAATACACAAAGAATACACAGAGAAAAACTATAGGTCACGATATACACAAAGAATACACAGCGACTCTCGGTTACGATCGCGATATACACGAAGAATATACCCAAAGAACACACAGCGACACACTGGGTCATCAAATACACAAAGAATACACAGCGACACACTATAGGGCACGATATACACAAAGAATACACAGCGACACACTATAGGGCACGATATACACAAAGAATACACAGCGACTCTCGGTTACGATCGCGATATACACGAAGAATATACACAAAGAACTCACAGCGACACACTGGGTCATGAAATACACAAAGAATATACAGCGACACACTGGGTCATGAAATACACAAAGAACACACAGCGACACACTATAGGTCACGATATACACAAAGAATACACAGCGACACACTGGGTCATGAAATACACAAAGAACACACAGCGACACACTGGGTCATGAAAGACACAAAGAATACACAGCGACACTCGGTCACAATCGCGATATACACGAAGAATATACACAAAGACCACACAGCGACACACTGGGTCATGAACTACACAAAGAATACACAGCGACACTCGGTCACAATCGCGATATACACGAAGAATATACACAAAGAACACACAGCGACACACTATAGGTCACGAACACTGGGTCACAATGTACACAGCGGCACACTGGGTCACGATATACACAGCGAACCCGGGACCTCTGGCTTACTAGTCTTACGCTCAACCGATCGAGCTAAAGAGAAGTTCTCCCTAGCCGAGCGATATATTGTGGCTAGTATTTACCAGGGCTACACACTCCCCTTCCAGGAAATAACTCGTCCTCGAGTTTTCCAGGGGTAACAGCGATGCTTGTGGAGCAAGGCCGAGTATTTTCCCCGGGTCCCTACGTGGGCGCAAATGTAACAAAGACGGTTTCGTTCTTTGTGAACATTTAGTTCATTTCCTTTAAGCATATTTAAGACATTCAAGACCCTACAAGGAAACAATATAAACTAATTAAATTGTAGTTAAAAAGTGTTACAACATATATGGACAATACATATATGCTTTACATTTATCTAAATTAATCGAAAGTTTGAAACATAAGTTCAAATTTACTTTATAATGAAATATACATTTCATTATACAGATACCAAAATACATTACATTTATTCAATACTTAATAAATCATATATACGTGTCCAAAACAGAATTTTACACGAAGTACGTTATCTATGTACCTACGTACCCCAACAATGGGTCAAGGGTCTTAAGATGAGATATTGGTAAGAGTCGTCAATACGACATGCTGTAGTAGACTAGCTTGGTAACAACTGAAATACAATGAAATCTTTACATACTTAAGGTATTAAAATTAACTTCAAATGATGTACTCAT